ATACAATGGCCAACATGGTCTCATCATCATCATAAACGTGTCCGTCGTCACTCCGCCATGTCCCCCCTTGAAAATTATAAAACCACCATTGACGAAAGTTTTTTGTTTGATAAATGGTCTGCTTTAACCATAATGGGTAGTCACTCTATTCCTTATAACAGTTTTGTCCGCCCATGAATCTGAAATGAAAAATATGTAGTCGATTTTAATTCGTTTATAACGTATTGGTTGCTCAGTTAGCCACATTGTCGATACTGAAGGGTTCCTGTGCACGCCAGTCTTGCGATGGCGATGTGTAGTGATCAAACGCACTATGGAATACAAATAAATCGTAAAATCAATTTGTGTAGACTTGGTCCCTGGAATTCCAGGACCTCATGCGTCTGCCAACAGATGTGATCGTAGTGAGGATCTAGTGAGTGGGCGTGTACTTGGTGTCAAATCTGCTTCTTCAGAGCACTAAATCGCAACTTTATTCCACTTCTGCATCTCGTTACTTATACTCTGTCGTCCTTAACATAACTTGTAGGCATCTCATGCCCAATCACCTCACCGACTGGCGGAGCCGTTCTTGAACACCGCCTATCAGCAGCAGCACAAAAGTTTGTAACCCGACATTTTGTGATCCGGAGCATTCGTTAAAGCCAAACACTTTCCACATCCAGACGCGCCTGGCACGTTGAAAGCCGCTCGGTAAATCAGGCTAACTTGAGGCTTTTTCCATGTCTTTCAAACGGATTTGGGCCTTCTTAGTTCATCGTTTATGCCGACATTCAATAATCACGTCTAAACTATACGAATACATGGACGGCCAAGATGGCCACTTCCAGTGCAGTCCAATTGTTTCTGATGATGATGGTCTAACTGTGAACTGACTGCCCTAGAAACGAATATCCTTCAACACACTTCCAGCTATCACCAACTATCCACCACAACAATGCCGCCACTTCCGCCTTTACTAAAAACCCTCCTGACTTTATGCTCAACATAATACGCTACTTCCTGCACTGATTTCACATATTTCCCCCACATTCACTGCTATACCTTGTGCTGAGTATACCTCGATCTTTAATTTTGTGACACTCCTCCCCCCCCAAATCACCATGGTTCCGCGCTCAATTTAACGAATGGCCCGCAAATTTGAACAATATACACAAAAACTATTTAAAAAATGCCTGTGCTGTCGGCTTGAGCTTGCCGCGGG